TCAAAAATGGGCAAAGAGGCGGGAGCTGGTTGCTGAAACCACGCCCACCTAGCTCGACGCCGGTGACAGCAATGGCAATCCACCGGTCACTCAAATGGCCACGCCCTTAATTATGCAGAACTTTAAGGCTTAATATAATTAAAATGGATGAGTTATAAAAAAAAATTCGCCCCCCTCACAGTTGTCATGAAGGGCAAAATTAGCTATATAGACTAAAATCATTTTTTGTACCAGGCTGTAAACATATTTTCTTCTGCTGTAAAGTTGGGCATTTTAACATGGGGAGTCTATAGGACTGACTCCCTTTTGGAGCCAGCCTCTAGCGGCCAGTCGATGAATTGCAGTTTTAGTCAATTCCGTGTTGGCTTCACGAGAGAGAAGGTTGCTGCTTGGTTGTAACGTTATTGATTTTATATAAAAAAAAAAAAAAACCTTAAGGACACAATTAAGCATTATTAAGGACACAAATCTTTATAAAAAATACTACTTGAAGATACAGCTTCTGACATAACAGAACAATGCAATGAATGTTGCACAGGTGTTTTTAGCTTGACTGAAATCTCATTGACCAATCAGAAGATTCTTTGAGAAATCTCCATTTTCTGAAAGAAAAATTGTGGAAGTGCATAAAAAACAAACTATTTGAATCATAATGTTCACAATGTGAAAATGTCTGTTCTTTTCAGAGATGCTTCATCACATGCTGCCTACATGTAAGTTATTCAATGTACAGTATTTTCTGTTTTTTACTTGCATTTGGTCTCAGATTCATAAGTAGACCATCTAGACGTCCATGTAGGCTAAAAAATCATGATATTTTGGTTTTTATTTTTGGCTTTTAAAGATAAAGACTCCCATACTTTGCTGAGAATGTTTACTGTCACTTCTCTCTGTTTTAAGGTATACTAGTAGCAAGATTTTTTAGAAATGATGACATATACTGTCATAACTGTTGCTGTAGGTCTGTGTGCCAGTCAGTTACACACGTCACCTTTAAAACAAACTGAACTAAATACTAAAAAAAATAATAAACTAACTACAATAAATGCATGCAGAATGTGGATTTACATCCTTTACAATGTTTGTTGGCTCCCCAACTATGCATACAACTACTCCCCCTGCTGTGCAAGGTACATACAATTTTTCTTTTTCTTAAATAATTTTTTTCTGAGCATGCGCATATTTTAAGAAATAATCATGACATTTTGATTCTCTGTCCAAAAGTCCATAGCAATCGTTTCCTGCTGCCTGTTGTTGGTCAGTCGAAGCCACTTTGTTTTGATGTTCCTGTTCCTCACAAACTCAGACTCCTGCAGGATTCAGCTTCAGGTTAGACATTAAGAGATGTTTGTTCTACATGTGCATCTATTTAACAGGCCATCTGTCTTATGAATGTGTTTACTGTGGTCATCCTAGAGTTCTCTATGAACGGAGAGTCTTTGAGTGAACAAAATGGATTCCATCAAATTGCTATTCATTACAAAACTAACCATCACTTGATAATAAGCACAAAGTCTATCAGTTACCGTAATGGCCAGGACAATGTTGAGATTCTGTGGGGCCAGGAACTGAGCCAACACAATACAGATGGGTAAATATAGAAGTTCTCCACATGTAGAAAGAACAAACTATATATTCATAAATGAATGCTAAATATTCTGCATATTAACTGTTCTCTGTTTGCTAACAGTTTTATTGTGATAAAACAGAGGTAGAATTCACTCATGAGTTACTCTCTATCAACAGTGTGTCTCTGGTTGTCCTGGAAAATGAACTGAATGTTACCATGGGAAATATTGGTGTTGTTATTATTTCTCATAAGAAAGATGGGGTCATGTTTTTGTGGCCTGCCATTTGGAAATATCCAAAAGATGTCAACCTGACAGGTGTTTTAGGTAAGAGAGCAATTCACGGTCTAAATATTTAAACATTACTTACAGTATCAAAACTTGCCTCCTGCCGATACTGAAGTAGGCTCCGCATTAAAGGAAAAGTTCACCCAAAAATGAAATTTTGCTGACAACTTTGCAGGCCATCCAAGATGTAGATGAGTTTGTTTTGATATCAGAACAGATGTGGAGAAATTTCGCATTACATCACTTGCTCAAGACTGGATCTTCTGCAGTAAAAGGGTGCCGTCAGAATGAGTCCAAACAGCTGATAAAAATATCACTAAAAATCTACAAGTAATCCACACCACTCCAGTTCTTCAATTAATGTCTTGTGAAGTGAAAAGCTGCATGTTTGTAACAAACAAATACATCGAGATGTTTTTTTTTGTTTTTTTTTTACTTCAAAGTCCTGTTTTTTCCAGTGACATCGTCTACATTAAGGATGGCTAGTGGGGAAATACATTTTCAGCAAATTGTCATTTTTGGGTGAACTATTTATTCATTTAATAATCTTTAACCTGACAACCATTTTAGAAGAACAGTGTGCCTTAATATGAATATAACCAAAATGTCAGTGATGTTATTGTGTCAGTTATGTACTGTACATTGGTTAGCCAACAACTGTTTATTGTTATTAAGTAGATATTTTGGATAAATTGCTGTTGTTAAACCAACATTAGTGACAAATCACAATATCTGTCGATAATCTTTAAGGAAAGCCTGATATTTCATATGTGAAGACTAAAGGATCACAAACACCAACTCTTAAGATGAAGGACAAGGAGGTGAAGACATCTTTGTAAGTGATTCGGTTAATAAATGCATACAACCTTCCATAAAACGTTTGGTACTTAATTTTAAAACATAATGTGTTGCCCTGTATGTTTATAAATATTTATATTTATATAAATATACAATATACAAATATTTATGTGTCTGTTAATTGTAGGGAGACTGTCAGCGATTACAGATTACATTCAACTCCTATTCAAGAATTCTGGCTTGTCCCATTCCAGGCTGTGATGGAGGCAGAGATTTCTGATTTCACTGTCACTCAGCTGTAGAGTTGACAAACAGTGTTTCTTTTGATTTTGATGGTTCATGTTAAGTAAATGCTTCAACGGTTTAATCCTACCTGGCCTAGGAAGCCTTACTTATAATTGTCTTAAGTATATTGTTTGCTTGATATGCTGATTTTTTTTGTTTGTTGTAAATCCACTTCAGCTGCCTTTCCAGGGATTAATCCAGATTGACTCTTAATAAATACAAATTCTCATGTCTAATGTTTGCTTAAAATGCAAGAACTGCAAGTATTGAATGCAGATTAAGTTTGCAATACAGTTATGGACAAAAAAAGAGGAGAATTCCAAATGTAGATCATAACATGTAGTTTACATTTACATTTAGCCATTTAGCAGACACTTTTATCCAAAGCGATTTACAAATGAGGACAATGGAAGCAAAGTCAACAAAAGAGCAATGATATGCAAGTGCTATAACAAGTCTCAGTTAGCTTAACGCAGTACACTTAGCAAGGTTTTTTTTTCAATTATATAATAAATAAAAGAAAACAGATAGAATAAAAAAAAGAACAGAGCAAGCTAGTGTTAGAGGCCTTTTTTTTGCTTTTGTTAATTGTATAATAAATAAAAAGAAAACAAATAGATAGAATACAAAAAGATAATAAAAGCTAGTGTTAGTTTTTTAAAATAAATATAAAGAAAACAAGCTGTAAATGAATAGAGTGCAAGTCTAAAAGGGCAAGTTTTTTTTATTTAATTTTTTTAAAGAATATAATTAGAATAGAGAGTGCTAGAGTTAGAGGGTCAAATAAAGATGGAAGAGATGTGTTTTTAGCCGATTCTTGAAGATGGCTAAGGACTCAGCTGCTCGGATTGAGTTGGGCAGGTCATTCCACCAGGAGGGAACAGTTAATGAAAAAGTCTGTGAAAGTGATTTTGTTTCTCTTTGGGATGGCACAATAAAGCGACGTTCACTTGCAGAACGCAAGCTTCTAGAGGGCACATAAGTCTGAAGTAATGAATTTAGGTAAAGGGGTGCAGAGCCAGTGGTGTTTTTGTAGGCAAACATTAATGCCTTGAATTTTATGCGAGCAGCTATTGGTAGCCAGTGCAAATTGATGAACAGAGGTGAGATCCATTTTTTGTATCTTGCTGCCGCGTTCTGGATTAATTGTAATTGTAAATTAATTGCTGTTCTTTCATTATGCCTCCATACTGAAACTATATTTTTAACATAGAGGTCTAATCAAAAGAAAACATGTTAAAATTGGGAATTACATCTGTTTTTCTCAAAAGCCTTTTAAATTTATGATTTAATATTCCCTCTCAAGCAAAAAAAGATTTGAACCACAAAAGAGATTTGCAAATTCATCAAATATTTCTTTAGGTACGATCTTTAAAATAAAGGTTTCACACAGAAAAATTTGGGGTTCCCCAAAGAACCTTTCAGTGATCAGTTCTTAAAATACCCATTTTTTCTACGCGTGAAGAACATGTTAATAATGTGGATGTTAATCCACAATTAAGAGTCTTTTGTGGAATGTAAAGGTTCCCTGGATGTTAAAGATTCTTCATGGAAACACAGATGTCAATAATGAACCTTCATTTTTTTAAGAGTGCATGTTCTCCTTAAAACTTAAGTCAAACAAGCCCTTGACAAATTTGAGGCTTAAACAACACAAACTATTAAAACAATGTACAATGCCAGCTGTTTGGTTCCTCTTGACATTTTGTAAGGCTGCAAAATTGGTACATTGAAATACCAGAACTAAGTTCCTTAGTGTCCAAACCATTGGTCATTGTTGCATCACTCATGAAAATGTTCTACATGTTTGTTTATAAACAAAATGTTCATTGTTAGTACATTATATACAGCCATTCACATATGTAAATAACTTACTTTATGGAATAAATCATGGTAATTAACTCTTAACTGTATGACTTTAGGAGGGTCTTTTTCTACAGACTCCTCGACCCAGGGCCATTAGTTCCTTCCTGAATTTCTCTGACATAAAAACGTAGAGAATGGGGTTGGCCACTGTAGAAGAGGTTGCCATGATGCGAGCAAAGGTAGCAAAAGGTCCAAAGTGAGGTAAAGGACCAGCCGCTTTATCACCCTCAGCTATTTGGGCAAACATCAAGCCATAGGATGGCAGCCAACACAATGCAAAAGCCAGCACTAACAAAGCAGACGTCTGGGTCACATGCACATGGTAGTGCTCTAAATGGTCAGTCTGAGTTGTGCGGCCCTGTCTAGTTGTTTTGAGGAAATGGTATATCTTGACATAGGCTATTACAATGATCCCAAGAGGAAATGCAAAAGCGAGAAGGAAGTGGCACACTCCATATGCCAACTGGCTTTTGTCAGACAGGAAATTGAAACATGCCAGGTTCTCACGGGCTTTATGGTTGTCCAGCATCCTCCAAGCAAACTGAGGCGATGCCAAGACGACCGCTGGTATCCACAGTACACCCGCAACTACTTTTAAATGCCCCTCTCTGCGCCATTGATATGCTTTTGACTGATGGACCACAATGATGTACCGCGCAAAAGCCAAAGTGGCCAGTGTAAAGGCGCTCGCCGCCGTACACATCGCACTCAAGAAGCTCACAGATTTGCACATGAAGCTTCCAAACGGCCAGTGACGGGTTGCGATGGCGACTGTGTGGTATGGAAGACAGGAAAGGAGAAGAAGGTCTGCCACACTCAATGACAGAAGAAGAACATCTGTGCCATTTGCATTTGTTTGTTGGAATCCTCCAGTTCTTCCTCCACTGGGCTGTCCACGTCCTCGCCGCAACGTACGACAGATGACGATAAGAACCAGGATGTGTCCCACCACCCCGGTTACCAGGATGAAGCTGTCAAATATGGGTACCAACACTCGCTCAACATCACTCAGTCCATGACTGGAACTGTTCGTCTCGGTAGTCCCATTAACCATAATGGAGGGTCCGACAATTAACAACAATATGATTATAAATGTAATTGGTTCTTAAATCCAAGTATTATTTTCATGCATCTCTACCAAACAGTTCTACAACATTCGTGCAGCAAATACTGTAAGCAACTGGACAAAGTTTTACTACTATTTCCCTTTCGAGGCGTCTCTCAGACCATTAGAAAATGTTCAAACATTTGTCAACAATCCTCTGGTCCAGAAGAGATCGTACTGTACAGTAGTCTTGATAAAACGCTCTGGAATGCATCAATAGTTAATGATTGCAGGACTCAAAGTGCAGAAATACTGCTATTGGGTTAGTTCTCTTCAGGAGAAACAAAAAAATTGCCCGAAATCATTGTTTATTTGTCGTTCCGCAGATTTATTTCCTCTGTAATTCCTTTACAGATATGGCAGATGCAAAGCCATAGCAATGTTGCACTTGCCTGTAGTGACTTCAGTGATTACAGATGCATTCCAAGGATTTGCTGGATTTTTCTTCAACTTCCAAGATTAATTTCACAAATTCAATGTCTATGAGCTCAGTAATCCACAGTATCAATCTGCTGGAACTCCCAGGGTATTATTCAAAAGATCTCGAGTGGAAAGCCGTGCTTCAAACGGAAACTTAAACAGCCGGAGAGAGGCAAGTCGAATGGCCTTTGACCTGACAGCAGTGACGTAGTGCCTATAAACACAGAGCTTTGTTTAACCACACATTTAGTGAACTGTCAAGTTTAGTCAGTAGATATAACGTCCAGCTTCTGTCTTTGGATTCTTTCTATCCCAGGCCCTTAATTCCATGTTTTAGCCTGGGAGTTGACAATTTGTTTGCATAGCTTTGCTATGTTAAAATAATATAATTAAATCACATTTACCTCCCAAAATTAAAATTTTGACCATTTTATTCACTCTCATGTCATTCCAAACTATGGAACCTTCGGAACACAAAAGATATTTTGAAGAATGTTTTTGACCATAAAATGAAACAAGACATTTTTCAAAATATCATCTTTTGTGTCCTGCAGTTAAAAAAATAAATAAATACAGGGGGATGTTTGGAATGACATGGGGATGAGTAAATGATGACAGATTTGTGTGTGTGTGTGTGTGTGTGTGTGTGTGTGTGAGAGAGAGAGAATAACCCCTTTAATTAATACTGAGAAATAAGAGTTACGTAATCTTAAATTTCCTTCAAGTTCCTTTACAGGAAGTGTTACAGTAAGTCATAAATACGTGATCAGATAAGTTTAAAGCACAAAGACAAAGGTCAAAGCATACAGATAAAGTGTCCCGTACATAATTTAGATTGTCTGTGTAACTGCTGACTCAAATACCCACATCCTTGAAGTCTTAGTTAAATCTAATGAATCACCATGACTTGGTTTATGATGTAAACCTTTAGACAGTATGCGTTTAAGCATTTGTATGTTCAAGACTTACACATATCTGACGCATTTTTTAAAGTTTTCGTTAGGACTAAACAGAGAAAATAAGAATAGCTGTCATTTTTACTATTTATAACGGTTTTTTTTACCCCTTCATTTAATTTAATGCAGTTCCAAATAAAACCTTAAAACTTCTAAATAAAAATACATTTATGTCACTTGCTAATGTAAACAAGTATGTACTTGTTTCACCTGAACATGCTAGTAATGAATATTATGTTTAATGTGATAGATGTTACATGTTTTGATATATCATATTTGGGCAAATGTTTAAGTGTTTAATGGACAGAAATGTTTATTCGATTAAACCCCAATCCTAAAATACACATTATTTACAGTCATTTAGATTTTAAAGAGGGATCATTTGTGTTAGTGTTAAAATAAAATTCCAGATTCTAACACATTGTTTTTATGTTGATGAATTTATTGAAATGCTGAGGTGTGTCAGAGATATCATGTTTGCCAATGACAGAAAAAAAATACACAACACAAACATCAGCAAGTGTTTTACATAGAAACATGCTCTGTCCCAGTTTATCATTTGCCAGCTTTGAACTCTACAGCTTAGTGACAGTGAAATCAGAAATGTCTCTCTGCATCGCAGCATAGAACGAGACAAGCCAGCATTTGATAACCGGCTTTGAAGAAAGTCTGTAGTCTGTGACGTCCTCCCTACAGACACATTCATAGATTAAACAGATGTATAATATGAGCAAAAAAAATCAGCAGTGAACGTATTGTTTATCACGTACCAGCTTGTGCTCACTTCCTGGTCATTTATCTTTAGAGTTGGTGTTTGTGATCCTTGAATCTCCTCATATGAAGCATCAGTTTTTCCTTTAATATTATCCACAGTTATTTAACCCATGTTGGTTTAATAAAGCAAGTTACAAATCAAAATGTACTATTTGATTGCTAAATTGTTGATGCGTGCTTAAATGTTTAATAAGTGAAGCACTCTTACCTAAAATGCCTGTCAAACTGACATCTTTTGGCTGTTGCTGAACAGCAGGCCACAGAAAAATTTCCCTTTTTTCCTTATGGAGAAGAATAACGACGTGAATATTTCCCATGGTGATGTCTATTTCATTGCTCCGTAGAATCAGAGACACGCTGATGAAACAGAAAAGCTGAAGAATGAATTCTATCTCTCAGGTTAACATACAGTGGGTACGGAAAGTATTCAGACCCCCTTAAATTTTTCACTCTTTGTTATATTGCAGCCATTTGCTAAAATCATTTAAGTTAATTTTTTTTCCTCATTAATGTACACACAGCACCCCATATTGACAGAAAAACACAGAATCGTTGACATTTTTGCAGATTTATTAAAAAAGAAAAACTGAAATATCACATGGTCCTAAGTATTCAGACCCTTTGCTCAGTATTTAGTAGAAGCACCCTTTTGATCTAATACAGCCATGAGTCTTTTTGGGAAAGATGCAACAAGTTTTTCACACCTGGATTTGGGGATCCTCTGCCATTCCTCCTTGCAGATCCTCTCCAGTTCTGTCAGGTTGGATGGTAAACGTTGGTGGACAGCCATTTTTAGGTCTCTCCAGAGATGCTCAATTGGGTTTAAGTCAGGGCTCTGGCTGGGCCATTCAAGAACAGTCACAGAGTTGGCAAATGGCTGCAATATAACAAAGAGTGAAAAATTTAAGGGGGTCTGAATACTTTCCGTACCCACTGTATAGGCTATAACATACACAAGTTTCGTGAAACACGTATAGTTTGAGTAGTATTTACCCCTCAGTATTGTGTTGGGTCAGTTCCTGGCCCCACAAGAACTCAACTTGATTCTGGCCTTCATGGTATCTGACAGACGTTGTGTTTATAGTCAGATGATGGTTAGTTTTGTAATGAAAAGTAATTTGATGGAATCCATTTTGTCCAGTCACGGATTCTCCATTCATATAGAACTCTAGGACACAAAGTAAATGTATTTAATTCAAGAAAAAGATGACTTCTAAAAGGATGTGTTTGTAGTAAATGTGTAGTAGAAACCTGAAGCTGAATCCTGTAGAAGTCTGAGTTTGTGAGGAACAGGAACGTCAAAACAGAGTAGCTTAGACTGACCAACAACAGGCAGCAGGAAACGATTGCTACGAACTGTTGGAGCTAAGACAGAACATAACCAAATGCAGCATAAAGTCAAACAAACCAAAATGTATTCAGACACCTTCAACATTTCTCACATTATCACAGTTTATTTGCTATAGTTTAGAAAATGTTAATAAAATATGACAAGAGTTAAACTGTGTCAGAACCAATTCATCTTGATAATGTCAGATAACTTTGATAGAAAGGTATGTAACAAAACATGGTCAGGTTAAAGTGTCAAATCAAATTTTTGATCCCAAATTTATATCAGCTTTACTGGTAGTCCACTGTGTGAATAATTTTTGGGTATAATATATCACAGTTTACTTTATTTTGCTATCCTCACTTACATAAATTAACTAGTGTCCTGCACCCTCTAGTAAAAAAAATATCAAAAATTATATCTGGTGTTTGAATCATTTTTGGTTTGACTGTATAATTATTATATAAAATTCCATAATAATTCAGTTTGAGAGATCTTTATGTACCTGACATAGTAACGGGAACACGTACCATCTCTGGAAGTGTGGGCCTTGGATCTAAGACTAAGAGAAGGTGTAACCGATAAAATTAGACTTAATGTACATTTTGTATGCATTTACCCTACATAAGGCAGAACGTCTCAGTTGTAACCCTCGTTCCCTGAAGGAGGGAACGGAGATGTTACGTCAACACTTTACGTTAGGGGTCTCACTTAGGAGCCCCAATCACCTCTGAGCATTACAAGAAATGGCCAATGACTATTGGCAAGTGGAATTTGCATGCCAAGCCACTCCCTGAACATATGGGTATATGAGATGACGGTGTGCATCCACTCATTCAGGTTTGTGCTGAGGGGCCGAAAAGCATCCCGGCATTCAGCACAGTTCACGGTTGTGGTATGAGGGAGATAACGTCTCTGTTCCCTCCTTAAGGGAACGAGGGTTACATACGTAACTGAGAGTGACATTCGTCAGTGACATTCGTCAGTGACATTCGTCATTACATCCACACTGACATTAGGGGTCCCTATGAAAAGCACCAGAACTGTGTTATGAAATTGATGTTTCAGTGCTGGCAAGCAAGCGTGCCATGACAAATGCACCTCAATTCAGAACCTGCCCAGCACCCCAAAAAGCCAGATAAAACATCAAGTACAAGGCTTATTAAGGAAGCCGAAAAAGGTGTTCCAATTTTCCCAATATTCGTTTCAGCAATCGTTGGGGTGCGGAGACGCATCCAAACAGGAATCTGAATCAGAAGACTGATCGTAGCAAAGTCTAACATATTGTCCTAACCCCAGTTCAGGGGAACACAACAGAAACGAAAGCAGACCTTTACAGGGAAAAACTCGGGTTTACCGAGGGAAACCAAACCGTGGAAGAACATATAGGATTACCCAAGGGAACCTAATGTATGGGTACCTAGTCCAGTATAAGGTAGGGATGTACAACAGCGATTGAGCACTCGGCCGTGACAGCGACGATCAATCATGAAAACGATGATCGTGGAAATTTTTTTTTCTGATTGGTTATAGCTTTGTATGGCTTTGCCAGGCGATTTCAGGAATCACTTGATAATGTAGATGAAAATATAAAACAAATCTGCCATAAACATAGCATTATATTGAGAACTTTATAGAAATCTATAGTAAATTCTGTCCTTGCCCGTGTTTCAGCGTGCTGTCATGAAAGTGCATCACAGCGGAAGCTCTCGCTCTCTCTCGCTCGCTCTCTCTCTCACTATAGCGCATAACTTGAAGTTCACTGGTATTTGTATCTTTTTGTGCAGATGTCTGCTAGAGAGGCACTGTGCGCCAATGCCAAGGAGGAGGCAACACTCCAAGTGGAATGAGCTCAAAGTCAAAATGAATAAACGGGCTGTGTTGAGGCAGAATCCAGACATAAAAGTATGAGTCCTTCCAGTCGATTGCTACAAACCAATCCTGGTGCTGATCGCATGAAATAATGCGCTTCTGCGTCAGCATCTTGAACAGAAGCCTGTGTAGGGACAGATTCAAGACTCGCAGATCCAAGATTGGTTGTAACCCACCGCTATTCTTGGGTGTGATTAAATAAGGGCTGTAAAATCCCAATTTCATCTCAGCTGGAGGGATGAATTCTATCATATCCTTCACCAAAAGGACTACATTCTCTACATACAGAACACAGGCATCCTTGTCCATAATTGACGTAAAGAGGATGCCCCTGAACCTGGGAGGGCACCTGGCAAATTGAATCGCATAGCCCAGTCAAACGAACAAGCCAGCGAGATGGGTTGGGGAGCGCTAGCCCCCCAAGTCCCAAGTGAGACCCCTTATATCAGTGTCGATGTAACATTGAATGTGACTGACTGAAAGAGAATCAAAGTTACAGTGTTTTCATACATACCACGGGAGATCAATAGATTGGAATAACTGAGATCATGGAATTCTAAACAACAACAAAAAAGGGTTTAGTCATTAAAAAGTCAAAGACAGGCTATGTATGCAGTAATACAGCTTTTCATGCAAGGGAGTTTATTAAAAATTCACAGCACTCATAATGTAATAATAAATAAATAAATACACTGAACAAAATTATAAACGCAACACTTTTGTTTTTGCCCCCATTTTTCATGAGCTGAACTCAAATATCTAAGACTTTTTCTATGTACACAAAAGGCCTATTTCTCTCAAATATTGTTCACAAATCTGTCTAAATCTGTGTTAGTGAGAAGAACTGGGATGTTTTCAGCTTCCAGGAATTGTGTACAGATCCTTGCAACATGGGGCCGTGCATTATCATGCTGCAACATGAGGTGATGGTCGTGGATGAATGGCACAACAATGGGCCTCAGGATCTCGTCACGGTATCTCTGTGCATTCAAAATGCCATCAATAAAATGCACCTGTGTTCGTCGGTTACGACGACGAATTGCAGTCAGGTCGAGACCCCGATGAGGATGACAAGCATGCAGATGAGCTTCCCGGAGACGGTTTCTGACAGTTAGTGCAGAAATGTTTTGGTTATGCAAACCGATTGTTGCAGCAGCTGGTGGCTGGTCTCAGACGATCTTGGAGGTGAAGATGCTGGTGTGGTTACACGTGGTAGGCCGGTTGGATGTACTGCCAAATTCTCAGAAACGCCTTTGGAGGTGGCTTATGGTAGAGAAATGAACATTCAATTCTCGGGCAACAGCTCTGGTGGACATTCCTGCAGTCAGCATGCCAATTGCATGCTCCCTCAAAACTTGCGACATCTGTGGCATTGTGCTGTGTGATAAAACTGCACATTTTAGAGTGGCCTTTTATTGTGGCCAGCCTAAGGCACACCTGTGCAATAATCATGCTGTCTAATCAGCATCTTGATATGCCACACCTGTGAGGTGGATGGATTATCTCGGCAAAGGAGAAGTGCTCACTAACACAGATTTAGACAGATTTGTGAACAATATTTGAGAGAAATAGGCCTTTTGTGTACATAGAAAAAGTCTTAGATCTTTGAGTTCAGCTCATGAAAAATGGGGGCAAAAACAAAAGTGTTGCATTTATAATTTTGTTCAGTGTAAATAATGAAAAAAAGTTGTACAAATGCATTACTGAAATAATTAAATAGAGAAATTATTAAATTTAGTAATTAAACTGTACTGATTTTTTTGTAATAATATAAATTATAAAACATATGAAATGTTATAAAACATTTAATGATAATTCCTTTCACATAACTTGAGCTACATTTAAATCATTTTCTTTTCATTAAAATGTATTTTCAAATATTTCATATTAAGAGGCTTCTTTTCCGAATCACACCTAATGCCTTATTTCATTTATTTTCATTCCATTTCATCCATTCCATCATCTCATTCCATTTTCTTTTAATTTACAGTGCATTCAGAAAGTATTCACAGCGCTTCGCTTTTTCCACATTTTACAGCCTTATTCCAAAATGGATTAAACAATACCCCATAATGGTAACGTAAAAGTAGTTTGTTTGAAATCTTTGCAAATTTATATAAAAAAATAATAATAATAATAAATAATGCAAAAAAAAAAAAAAAACATGCACATAAGTATTCACAGCCTTTGCTCAATACTTTTTTGAAGCACCTTTGGCACCAGTTACAGCCTCAAGTCTTTTTGAGTATTGCTTGGCACACCTATTTTTGGGCAGTTTCTCCCATTCTTCTTTGCAGGACCTCTCAAGCTCCATCAGGTTGGATGGGGAGCATCGGTGCACAGCCATTTTCAGATCTCTCCAGAGACGTTCAATCAGGTTCAAGTCTGGGCCACTCAAGGACATTCACAGAGTTGTCCTGTAGCCACTACTTTGTTACCTTGGCTGTGTGCTTAGGGTCGTTGTCCTGTTGGAAGATGAACCTTCGCTGAACCTTGGAAGAGCACTCTGGAGCAGGTTTTCATCAAGGATGTCTCTGTACATTGCTGCATTCATCTTTCCCTCGATCCTGACTAGTCTCCCAGTTCCTGCCGCTAAAAAATGGGATGGTATTGGCCAGGTGATGAGTGGCACCTGGTTTCCTCCAGACATGACGCTCAATCTTTGTTTCATCATGGTTTCATCAAGAGTCCTTCAGGTGCCTTTTGGCAAACTCCAGGCGGGCTGTCATGTGCCTTTTACTGAGGAGTGGCTTCCGTCTGGCCACTCTACCATACAGGCCTGATTGGTGGAGTGCTGCAGAGATTGTTTTTCTTCTGGAAGGTTCTCCTCTCTCCACAGAGAAAAGCTGGAGCTCTGTCAGAGTGACCATCGGGTTCTTGGTCACCTCCCTGACTAAGGCCTTTCTCCCCCGATCGCTCAGTTTGGCCGGGCAGCCCGCTCTAGGAAGAATCCTGGTGGTTCCAAACTTCTTCCATTAACGGATGACGGAGGCTACTGTGCTCATTGGGACCTTCAATGCTGCAGAAACTTTTCTGTACGCTTCCCCAGATCTGTGCCTTGATACAATCCTGTCTCGGAGGTCTACAGACAATTCCTTGGACTTCATGACTTGGTTTGTGCTCTGACATGCACTGTTAACTGTGGGACCTTATATAGCCAGGTGTGTGCCTTTCCAAATCATGTCCAATCAACTGAATTTACCACAGGTGGACTCCAATCAAGTTGTAGAAACATCTCAAGGATGATCAGTGGAAACAGGATGCACCTGAGTGTCATGGCAAAGGCTGTGGATACTTATGTACATGATTTTTTATTTGTAATAAATTTGAAAAGATTTCAAACAAACTTCTTTCACGTTGTCATTATGGGGTATTGTTTGTAGAATTTTGAGGAAAATAATGAATTTAATCCATTTTGGAATAAGGCTGTAACATAACAAAATGTGGAAAAGGTGAAGCGCTGTGAATACTTTCTGGATGCACTGTAGCTTTTAATACGGCAAATTTGCAATAATTAAAGAAAGTCAAAGAGCAGTTGATTTCATTCAGTTGAAATTAAATTATTATTATTATTATTACTATAAGAAATTTTTGGACAGAAAACATTGCAACATTGTCATACATACCCTCAGCTACCGGAAAGGGAACTGGGAATGAAGATGATTCAGCCATTAAAAAAAAACAAAAAAAAATTTAATTTATTACCAAGTACAATAATTTACATTCGTTTAACAATTGATAATTAGACACGACATACATGATATGCACAAGGCAGCAGCGTTTATTCATTACAGAATCTGGCTGATAAATGTAGAAGAGAAAAGAAATTAAAACACCTACATGCAGCAGGATAACTATGAAGGCGATATCGTCCACCTAAAAAACAAATATATTTTTTTATGTTGTGAGCATGAATCAAAACTCTGTTTATTACAAATTCATTTTCAATATGTGTGTTTTATTGCAACCCCAGCATTTTGCACCCCATTTGCCTTGCCCTTTTTCCACCAAATTTTCAAAAATATATATATCCTGCCAAAACAAATAGAGGGGTTTGAAAGCAGTATTTAGAAAAAGGGATAGCCTTAATAATGTGATCATTGTGATTTGAATACTGCTTGTTCTGAAAATGGAAGCTATAAGATAAGGGGCACATTTTTCTTTACACATGTGTCCTGTATCCATGAAAAAAAAAAGATAAAGAAAAAAGCCATACCACGGCGCCCTGGATTAGCACCACCATATCTTGATCCTGGGATATACAACAACAACAAAAAATAATAAAAAAAGATATTTCAAGGCAAAGTAAAGTATAAAACGTTGGCATAAATTTAAAATTCACCCAATTTTAGTAAATTCTTCTATTTTCCAAATGCATGTTGTAGATCTTATTGTGAATGATCTATCGATATGTTCTCTCAAAGAATGGAGGGTCCTAATAGTCTTAATGATGTGATAATGTAAATTTGAATACTGCTTGGTCTGAACACTATGGAAGCTATAAGATAAGAGGGGGTAACATGATCTACCTATTAAAAGGAGAAAGCTTTTAGAAGAAACAATGCATACCACGCAAACCTGGATGAGCGGCAGGTGCACTGGACAGACCTGGACTATGGTGGTGCTGCTGACTAAATCATATATATATATATATATATATACACAGTTCAAGGCAGATGCCGTATATTAAAGTAAGCATGAAATAAAAATGCATGCATTTTCTAAATACATGTTAAGTCTCATTGTGAACTATGTATCCATGTATGTGTTTCACTTTTTGACAATTATGACCTGCTAATTTTTAATCAAAATAACTGTCTTGTGGTGAAAATGACAGACGTCTCTGGTGGTGTATGCAGAACTTAAATCCAATTATCAACTAGTGTAAAAAATCAACAACACAAAAAAACAAGTCTCTATCCTATATATTTTAAATTTTTCCATAAGCTATTGCTACTTTAAATTCTCTGCAGTAGTTTACATAAATAGAGTACATGAACTGTTTGTTTCATTATTTAAATCAGCATATTAGAATGATTTCTTAAGGATCATGCGACACTTTATACTGGAGTAATAGCTGATGGAAATTCAGCTTTGCATCACAGAAATAACTTATATTTAAAAGATATTAAACCATTATTTTATATTGTAATAACATTTTACAAGATTACTGTTTTTTTTTTCTGTATTTTTGATCAAATAAATGCAGCCTTGATGAGAATAAGAGACTTCTTTAAAAAATATTACACTTTATAAAAACTTTGTAAAAAAAAATACAAAGGGAAAACTGTTATTCACTGTGTATACAGTGGCCATCAAAACTCCATTTCGGAAGAAAAGTTTGTCTGATGAGGTCGGAAAACACTAGACAGCTGCTTTATAATATAAACTGACTCTGTTGTCTTAACTTGTAGGATGCACAAATGAAGTAGCTTCTCACCTGGAGGTCTGGGTTGCGCTTCTCCCTCTTTGGGTTTGTCGGCAACTTCCACATCACCTTCTTGTGGCTTAGTAACGACCATAGAGGTGAGTGGAGTGACAAACTGGTATTTCAGGGAGAGTTTGAGAGCTTCTTTCTTTTCATCCTCTGTCTCTTGTCCTTTAAGAATCACCCTGAGATAAAATATGTTCTCAATGTTCAACTTAAAGGCACAATATGTAATTTTTTGCCACTACCTTAAAGGCACAATATGTAATTTTTCGCCACTAGAGGGCGCATATTCAAAATAAACAAAGAAACGAAGTCGTAGTTTGATGACGCCGTGACTGAGTGTGGAATCATGGGAGTTGTCGTCTTCAACCCCACAGCCGATTAAATCCGACGGGACTCGGGCAGAAATCATGTTCATGGATGAGCATTTATTAACGTAGTAGAATGAAGCACAGTGAGGCTGAAAGCTGTCGAAGCGAAACGAGGCCGCTGAACGAGCATGACACACGGCTCGAAAGCAGCGGAGCTTTTATTATGCCACAGTCGACCGCTTCCGCTCCTTCTGGTCGTGCGTATGTGGGGGAAAAAAGCAGCACTGTTTTATCATACTAGATACATTTGAAAGATCTGTTATAATGCTACTCTGTGCAGTCGTCACCTGTCTAATAAAATGCATAGCATATTAAAGCATC